GTACCTCATTAGCCTTAAGTTGACTCGTACGAGTACAGGAGAGAATACAACGTGAATCTTATCTGTGAATTTGAATACAATATGGTCGCCAGATCAACGGAAGACAAATTAACCACCATATCATAATCAGATTAAAAAAAGCAAGCCGGCAGCGCAAGTTAGTCTTTCAGACAGACTATATTATAAAATTAGCCTCATTCGCAAACAAAGTTGGTTTTGCGAGAGACTCACCTGGGACCTAGAACCTCCCATTTATGATGTTTTCATGTTCACGTTTTCTAAACGAGAGTTTCAGCTGGGTTCCGGGTTAGCCATGTGTTTCAGGTCAAATTTTGCAAATAAAACCTTCCAAAGGAAGTTTAAATTTCGCACAAGATAAAAATATGAGTTTTACAAAGGACTGAATACCATTTTTCTATTTTTGGATACTGTTTCATTGACAAAATTAACTGTGTAGATCGCCTTACATCAGAGACCTTTCATAATCTTTTATCAAAATCACTATTGCTCCATGCAGTGTCGCCGTTCGAAATTAAATCCGTCGAAAAACCGCTTAATCTCAAAACTGATAGGTATATGAATGTCTGGTATTTCTGTGGAGAACTTAGAGTCCTCAAATTGTTTCCATCGCTACGAAATTCCAAGAGGCCTGAACTCTATTCCAGTAGTGTGCTCGAACACGATCATAAGCGCCCCGTGAGTGTTCATTCTGAAATGTTTGCAAACTGTAATTTTCTCTCAGGTAGGTGAGCGGTTCGAGGAAATAAGTCATAATGAGACAAAATGGACCGCGTCGAACTTTTGCTACAACGTAGAAAGTGCAAAGTTTTTGCACTGTTCGATAGAGAATTTTCGGCTGTTTGGAAGCGGCAAAATATATTTTCATGGCTCTGGGGACCAAATAACAACATCGGCTCAGTTTGCTTGGCATTCTTCAATCAAAGTTCGAAAAGCTGAGGATTCATTCTGAAAAGATTATGATAAGGCCATTTTGATGGCACGCATTGAATAGGGCTATTCACAACCAGGATGTAGCAAAGTTTCCGTCAGCAGATAACCTGATCTGGTATAGTGGGAAATGAAGGAATACGGTCACCCTTGCATATTTCAAAAGCTTGAGACGCCTGTCCTGAAAGCCAGTTGTTTCGGTTCCTGTTTTGGTGTAAGCAAGCTTTTTTTCACGAAGCACAGGCAGATGGTATCCAAGGCTGTATTAGCGTTAAATAAAAGTTGCGATCATAAATCCGTGTTTCTAGTGTGTCATACTTGCGTAGCCTCAACTTATGTTGTCCAGTTTGGTGAAGCCGAGCTCGCCTCGATGAATGATAATAATGTATGGGATTACTTTTGAAACCGGTGTAATTGTCACCGTCAGATTTAAATTCTCCAAAGCTACGGCTAAACATTCGTGGAAGTTTTCAAAGTACGGTGCCTCTGCAAGTGCATCCACTCGTTGATAGTAGACGAAGAAGTCGTTCGCTCTAGTGAGGATAGTAATTATGGGTGGGGAATAATATGTTTACCTTAATGGTATTTGCTCAGGGGGACTGCTAAACAAACGAATTATGGCATTATGGGGATTCCACAGAGCAATGCCCAGAAGCGTAACGGTGTATACTACTGATGAAGCATGAGAGTAGTGTGTGGTTTCCTCATAAATGCGCGCCTACGGAATTTGTGGAGTCGCTTTGTAGCATTCGTTTACGTTTGAAAGATAGGCAATGAGTTTCCAGGAAAGTTCAGGAGAACGCGTTCGAGAAGAATACGGATATACAGTTTTCATGAACAAGATGCTTCTCTATCCAATAGTCTGTAACTGTTCAGTTGGTATTTTCTAATAAACAACTCCGCAGCGAAGGCCTTTTTCCTTTCATTGGTATATTTGTGGTAAAACTTTGACCCGAGTACACTAGAAATCCGGCCTGGCAGTCTTTCATAACAGTAAAAACCCTAAAGTCTACTAAATTGTCAGCCGTTCTGATCCTGACGCGCAATATGGGCGTGATCTATTGGAGTTCCCTCCAATCCAGTCTTTGCAGTCTGCTTGATGGGTCACTTTGTGGCAGCTGATGTGTAATATTTTGCAGGTATCAGATGAAATGAATTCCGTAAATATATTGGCTAATCCAATGTAGTGCAGTTATTTGTGTAGTATTTGTTCTAAAGGAATATTTGTTTAAGTGACTTGGTAGTGAAGTATGAAAGTCATTACCATTAAAAGCAGCTGCGCTGGTCAGTGTGGAAATCGGGTACGTCAGTGGTCAGAGACATTGTCGCATATGGCTGTTTAATGTGGAGTTGATCCTGCGTTTACAATGCAAAAAACGCTGAATTAAAATAATGATACTACAATTTCACAAGTACGTAATGAGGAAATACTTTCTGCAGTTGTCCCTTCCGTTAGTTTAATGAATCAACTCAAGATAGCAAACTCGAACTCGTGCTATGTGAAGACTCTGGGTTTATGTGGAAGTGGTGGCCTTGCTGGCGCACAAAAAAGGGTTGCTATGGATTTTCCACCATAATTTTGGGGATAGAAAGTGAATATTCAGTCCCTTAAAGAAGGCTGGACTAACGACGTATGTCAGTGGCTTTTCAGGGCCGATCAACTGTGAATTGCCTACATTTAGACTAGCATTTGACAGCGCACCAGCAGCAAAGATTAATGTATGTTGGTACAAGCTAAGGGAAAATCACGATCCAAACCTTGCATGATAGGCGGTGAAGGATCTCGCAGTGACTATTACCCATGGTAGAAAATTTTCAAGCACCAGGCTGAACAGTTTATATTCTTATTTGGGGAACGTGACGTCGCTTTCATAGGGAATGTCCTGACATCCTGGTAACAGGCTCGAAATTCCTGGTGGCGCAGTTGTGTAACTTTGGAAGTGGGCATGTTGAACCTGTGGTCCAAATGTGATGATCAGATTTGAATAAAATTAATGCGTGACAAACATGTTTGTTTTCCAAGGATTCGCCTGACCTCCAAATGTTTGTATCGTCTGCAAACATTGTAGACTGTTACGTAGATATTATCATTAGTGCGTTAAGGGACGTCAAAATGCTAGTAAAACTAACTGTTGTTAGTGATTTTGTGGTACTCCACCTAACTAGGATTTACCTAGTCAGTACCCAGCTAGTGCAGTTCATACTTACGTCCGTGTTTTGACAGATGAAACTTTTGGACCTGTCCAAAGCACATCGCCACCTGTTCCAATATTCATTCCACTCATTATCAGCTGGTATAAGGCTGTAAATGTACGGGTTTCTTCTAGAAACTCTAAAGCACCGATATCGCTACTGAGCCATTCAAGTTGGCTCATAACTCCGTCTGTACCGATGGACTACCATATTTCGGGTATCAGCGGCTTCGGAGAGGGGTTACGAGTTGTTTTGACCCACTCTGTTAACAGTGGCGTGATGATTCCCAGTGTTCACACTGGCCTGCGCTGTAAGTAACTGAGGACCATGAGTGGGACGGACTTGGTCGTTTCTCGTATTACTTTAACGGATTGTGGTAGGTTTAAGTATACGTTTTTCAGCATTGAACCCGCAGCACCACAACGTCATACCTGAAGATGAGATTCCTACTGTGCCACCGTTAAAATTATGGGGCTGGTTGTAGTTCAGCGCTGGATGACGTATTTTTGAGAAGTGAGGGGTTTTGATGTACCCCCCTTCACGGTACTGCAAAACCATGATGGTATTCTTTCCCGTATTTGTGGTTTGTGTGTTCTATATTTGGTTTATACAACGCGATGATTCTGTGTGCAAAAATTCAACGCAAAATGTACTGTGCTTGTCTTCGCCAGCAGGCGCTTCAAAACAGGCAGGAACCTTTGTGGAAGCTGTCTTATTTCCCATCAGGCTAACTGTTTTCCAGAGCATTACCGGACAGAAGAAGCTATGGCTTGACCTAATTCTGGTGTAGCGCCTTCTCTTGCTTGAATTTGCTTGGTAGCACCAGAAATGACAGAGTGTCTTGATAACCAGAAGTATGAAGTGTCCGAGGGAAGAATGAACTTCACAGTCATCCAAGGGTTGAAGTACACTTATTTATTTATTTATTTATTTAATTTATTTATTTATTACATGTCATTTATTATTTATTTATTATTGTTCATTATTTGTTATTTATTATTATTTTTTTCATTTTTTCATTTATTTATCGAAACCAATCTATCAGTTTATTCTAAATGAGAGAGTAACTAAGTTATGCCTACTTACTGCAATTTTTCAAGTCTGATACCAATAAGAATTGTCTCTTTACCCTTTGGATTACTGAGTAATCTATATTTTTCCTTTACCAGCGGAAAGCTTTCTATCATGATGATTAAAAGGCATAGTACAGTAAAAACCTGAATGACTGTAGAAAAGTAGGTCAGTTTGGTATAACTACAAGTGGAATCTAGCGCCAGAATAGTGGAAAGTAGTCCACAGCTGAGGAATTGATGCAAACAGTTTTGAGTGCAAATCCTCATGATCAGAGGAATGGTGAGAGAATCTAAGTAGGTGATTTGGGTTGCCACAATAGGGTTTCCATTGCAGCATAGTCACCCACTTCATACTGGTTTTGAGTCCGCTTCGGAATTGAATGTCACATAGAAATGGCAGTCGACGAGCTATGTAAACTCACGGTGTTAACTGATGCAATCATTATCATACCCAATGAGAAAAACCGGTCTGCAAATAAAAAGTAAGTCAACTGGTGCTCTAACTAGGCGATAGCTGCCCAACTTATTTTACCGCGTAATGCAGATGTTAAGTTTAACTGCGATCCCTCCACCCTGTTGCGAACTTCCATAAGCATTCCGATTTGTTCTTGGTTTGTTTGAGTATTTTGATGACTGTTTGTACTACGCGTGTTTTTGGTTAAATCCAGGTTGTAAATCGTACGTCCGTTTTAAAGGGATGTTTAAAAATGGCACCGAAGGGTTGAAAATATATTGGATTGGCAAATCCGAGAATATTTTTATCTTAAACTTTAACAAAATATTCAGTTACGGGAACTTGCTGATATTTTTTCTGGAGCTTGGCGCCGGTGCTGTACTGGAGTTTCTGACTGTCCTTGTTGAGGAGAGATCTTCTGTGACATCGGTTGTCGGTTTCTTGAGAAATCCCACCAGACTGGACAAATCTGTGACAATCGTCGGGACTATCGAGGGTTTTTCTGTTCAAATATTCAACGTGATAGACGTATGTAAGTATAGGTGTTGCACAGTAACATGGTTAAAAAGCATTTTATTACTAGTTATAGGCACACACATATATATCCAAGAAACCATTGCGTTCTGGTTTGCTCGGCGCACACAGTATATGTTAGTTCTTTTGTATAGCTTGCAAGTTAAGTCGGGAAAAACTACACGAACTGTGAATGAACTACAGACTATTTATGGGCATTTCTGTCATAACGTTGCACTGTGCGGTCGGCTTCACTTCTTTCGGTTACTGGTTGTACACTTGATGCATAAGCGCAGCAAATTGTCTTGGTGGGCAGACTACTGGCCGATGTGATTAAGTAGGCATGATATCGTATTAAAACAGCTTATAGTACGGGAAGACGTTCCTCAGAAGCCACCGCATTTTGTCCAATGTAATGAAGTCGTATGCAAGGTGTAGTTGCGAAACATGGGAGACCTGTTGACAGGGTACCGATGCGACATTTCAACATCAGATGGCCCACAATTAGGTACTCAGCTTGTGTGGATGGCTAGCAACTGGCAGTCGACTGCGATAAGACGTAGAGTCACCCAAAAATATCGATTGATCATCTGCAGATGAATCTGGCGAGCGTTTTGAATGATCAACTTTTCCGAGCCTAAGTTTATTAGACGCGGGCTCGGAAAACCAAAAACATTTAGGGGTTATAGACGTTATGCTCTTAGGAGAGCAGAGCGGCAGAGCCCGTTGAACGCAAATCATTTGAAACTCACCAGTCAGATTGGGCAACCTCAGAGTTTGAGGAGTACTGAACTGGGAAGTTGAGGATTCCGGAGTAGGTTGAAATGTGACTCTTGTATCAGTTGTGGTTTCTTTTATAAGCTTTGTCGTTTTTGTTGACGCGGTTTCTACAGGGAAATTGCTGGTAGTATGGTCTATTAGATGAATACATAAAATATATGCCACAAATAGAGGACTAGTGAAAATGAGCAGTTTAAAAGATCAGAATCACGTAAACCATCCTATGCGTAACACGTGAAAATGTACCGGAATATCAGTTACGTTCATTGCTGGTCGATCTGGTGGCCGTTGTTCTGTTAACCGAGCTTGACAATCCTTGAAATCTAATTGTCAATCTTGGTGGACAGAACACTGGCCGGCCACATGGCCAACTAACAATATAAGAAGTAAGTAAAACAGAATCCGATCCATGGACAATTACACGAAACTGCGTGCTGACCAGGTGTGTGCCAACCAGGAGCAACTGGCAAAAAACGGATGACCATATCGGTCATATGACTTCTCTGCGCGCGATAAAAAATGGGACTGTGTGTTAGTTTTGTGGTGTTTTTTCCATATGAAGTGATAATCTATAAAACGCAATGACGTACGTTTAAGTGAGCACAAATAAAGCTAGATTTTGCCGCATGCTTTTGCAATCCAACGAGATTCATTCAATATTTAGGTTCATGTAACTCAGGGTCAAGCGATCTTAATCAATGAAGCCGAATTCACGCTTCAAGAGACAAACAGCTGATTTTTCGCTAACCGCTATTTTTCGCATTTTAGCACTGCTAATTCGATTTTCCTATAGTACTTGTTCAATACTCCGAAGGTACTTGGGGTCGAAGACAATCACTCTTTTATTGCCTTCCACGCAGCAGCCAAACTTCATTATTAGAACATGGACGTTTTGCTGTCGATGATGATGAGGACTTCGATGAACGGCTACCAAGCTTCATGGTTGCAAAGCAAGGTGCGACGTACAGCCAGTTTGAAGACCATAACCCTTACAAACATGATAATGGCGCACCGACCCAGGAAGCGCCTAGGTGTGGGGAATGCAATCCTAGCCTAAACTTCGTTAACTATGCCAACGCCCAGATAAGAAATCTATCTGATATTTCGGGTGGTTCCGATGCCATAACAAGTTTTGATGGTGCACTAGCCCAATATTCTAATAGTACTTTGAACTAGAAGGGTGCAATTCGCACATCGGTACTGATGGCTACAATATTGGGAGTATTTAGACCAACTTTTTACTGCGTAGAATCAAAACCAAGTAGAGCAAAATTGTCTTTAGGATCTTTGGCGAGAAGTAGCTCCGCACTGGATGTGGAAGACGTGGCAAACCGCTCCCCATAGTGCATAGTTGAAGGGAAAGTTGGTACACGGTAGCCCTGAGGAATACCAATTTCGAGGATGAGCTCAGGGGATTCTACGGGTGTTGGAATTTAAACAAGAGTGAAAATGCCCGGCACAAATTGGAAGATGAGATATTACCGCAAATTTTCGGGACCGACTGTATGAACGCTGTTTTTGGTCAAAGAATACAGAGTTTCGGGGCCCTTATGTGGGTGTGGGGTGTCCACGTCTTAGAAGGAACCCAGCCCCGTTTTAAGGCTCTGCCTAACGCGTATCCTCGTAAGCCCGCGTTCCAAAATACCTGGAATAAACGATGTTTAGACTGAGACTCCGATAATTCTCAAGTTTGGATCTAGCAGCTTTCTTAAAGAAAGGAACGACGGTGAATACCTCTCATTCCTCTGAAACTTCGCCCGTCTTTGAAACGCTCCGCATAAGCTTCGTCAGGCTGAACGATTCCTTTTCCATCATCTTTAAAGAAGGTGAAAGTAGTCAGTAACGGTTGTTTTGTAGTGATTTGAAATTTCACTTTAGTTTTTGACTCCATATTCTGCTGGGACAAGCACATCATGCCGCATTGTAAAGTTGTTGGTGCGCTACTTTTATTTTCGGCACCTCAGACCACTTGAAATTTCCTCTGAATTGTTCCGTGCACCGAAGCAGGAGATGGGAATTTAAGTGGAGTCTTAGGCTGCATTCCTCTCTGATTACTCATTGACCGACAACTTACCTGACCCAGTGTTGCGGATAAGTTGGATAAGAGTTCGACCATTTACAATGGACACTAATTTTTACGGCCCCACGATTTTCTTTATTCACCAATTCTCTCTGCTAGCCTTGTGGTTTCAAGTTAGGTGTTGTTTCAGGCCCCTCACCCCATCATATTTTAGTCCGATTTGCCTGTGACAGGTTTGGGTAGCCAGAAATTTCGAGAAGTGAGTTAGAATGATCTGAATGCTGTTGAGGTTGCTCACAGCAGGTGCCTTCCGAGCAGTATCAGATATTTTCCAAAAGTACTTTGGCTGTTCTGAATAATGCAGTGGCGGTCACAATCTATCATTAGGATATAACAGTGTGCGATGTTTAGGGCCAATTGGTCCTAACTTGTCCTCCTCATGGAAAGGCAGCTGGATACTTCGGGTTAATATGGACTTGGAGAAAATAGCCAAATTGCCTTCACACGACTACCAAAGAGGGTAGTACTGTTCTATCTATCAAACGTCTCCTATTACGGTTACTCCTAGTGCGGGGCTTGGTGATCTTTGTATGGTTGATTTCCTTTGATATTCCAAGGAGTATTAAGGCTTACGAAAAGAGGCTTCATACGAGAGCATTACGAAACTCAAATCTGACCATTGAGTTGCCACCTATTGATTGGACAGAATATGGGGTTATAAGCTAAAGATCACTTGTCCGATACCACTGATATCCTGCTTAAAACGTGAGTGAGTGAGTGAGTGAATGAGGAGTGAGTGAGTGAGTGAGTGAGTGAGTGAGTGAGTGAGTGAGTGAGTGAGTGAGTGAGTGAGTGAGTGAGTGAGTGAGTGGAGTAGTGAGTGAGTGAGTGAGTGAGTGAGTGAGTGAGTGAGTGAGTGAGTGAGTGAGTGAGTGAGTGAGTGAGTGAGTGAGTGAGTGAGTGAGTGAGTGAGTGAGTGAGTGAGTGAGTGAGTGAGTGAGTGAGTGAGTGAGTGAGTGAGTGAGTGAGTGAGTGAGTGAGTGAGTGAGTGAGTGAGTGAGTGAGTGAGTGAGTGAGTGAGTGAGTGAGTGAGTGAGTGAGTGAGTGAGTGAGTGAGTGAGTGAGTGAGTGAGTGAGTGAGTGAGTGAGTGAGTGAGTGAGTGAGTGAGTGAGTGAGTGAGTGAGTGAGTGAGTGAGTGAGTGAGTGAGTGAGTGAGTGAGTGAGTGAGTGAGTGAGTGAGTGAGTGAGTGAGTGAGTGAGTGAGTGAGTGAGTGAGTGAGTGAGTGAGTGAGTGAGTGAGTGAGTGAGTGAGTGAGTGAGTGAGTGAGTGAGTGAGTGAGTGAGTGAGTGAGTGAGTGAGTGAGTGAGTGAGTGAGTGAGTGAGTGAGTGAGTGAGTGAGTGAGTGAGTGAGTGAGTGAGTGAGTGAGTGAGTGAGTGAGTGAGTGAGTGAGTGAGTGAGTGAGTGAGTGAGTGAGTGAGTGAGTGAGTGAGTGAGTGAGTGAGTGAGTGAGTGAGTGAGTGAGTGAGTGAGTGAGTGAGTGAGTGAGTGAGTGAGTGAGTGAGTGAGTGAGTGAGTGAGTGAGTGAGTGAGTGAGTGAGTGAGTGAGTGAGTGAGTGAGTGAGTGAGTGAGTGAGTGAGTGAGTGAGTGAGTGAGTGAGTGAGTGAGTGAGTGAGTGAGTGAGTGAGTGAGTGAGTGAGTGAGTGAGTGAGTGAGTGAGTGAGTGAGTGAGTGAGTGAGTGAGTGAGTGAGTGAGTGAGTGAGTGAGTGAGTGAGTGAGTGAGTGAGTGAGTGAGTGAGTGAGTGAGTGAGTGAGTGAGTGAGTGAGTGAGTGAGTGAGTGAGTGAGTGAGTGAGTGAGTGAGTGAGTGAGTGAGTGAGTGAGTGAGTGAGTGAGTGAGTGAGTGAGTGAGTGAGTGAGTGAGTGAGTGAGTGAGTGAGTGAGTGAGTGAGTGAGTGAGTGAGTGAGTGAGTGAGTGAGTGAGTGAGTGAGTGAGTGAGTGAGTGAGTGAGTGAGTGAGTGAGGGAGGGAGGGAGGGAGGGAGGGAGAGAGGGAAGGAGGGAGGGAGGGAAGGATTGAATCATTCAGTCAGTTAATCAGTCGGACAGACAGGTAGGTGGGCAGGCAATCGATTACCCGGTCAGCGACTGGGCAGCCAGTAAGCTAAACAACCTCATGTTAAGCTATAAAACAGGGTTTATTGCAGTGGCTGAAACTGAACAAAGTAGCATCACTTGTTATCTGCTTTTTTCATTACCTTACTTTTGATGTGGAAGTAACTGAAAGAGTTGCAGTGCGAGTTGAAGCGTGATTATCTGTATCCATTTGGAACTCACCAGGAGTGCTCACAATTCTGGGCTGCAACATCGACTGATTTGTAATGTTCGGAAACCCAGATGTGCTCTGAATGAAGATCGTTCCTACTGGTACAGTAGTAGTCCGAAATGTCTGCTTATCGGTGGATACAGTTGATGAAGATGCATTTTCTGAGATTTTGTCATCTAAAAATATTTGGTGGAGCCCGTGTAGGCGCAAATTAATAAAGTGCAATGTCCTAAAGCCCCCACCTAAAAGGAAGCCAATGCAAGAGATCAATCCAACTTGGTATAGTCTGCAACAAATATTATTCTGAGGAAGAACTTTAATGACGAGCGACGATTCGGAAAGCTCTCTGCTGAAAACAATTCATCTTCAGAACAATAGTGCTTATGTGTCAGTGTGTTCCGCAATCGAGTAAATGCTGGATTGTGAGGTCTAGCATGCCGGAATATTAGAAAGTTTGCCTTATCGGGATACCAGAAAATCTACCCTACTCCCAAAATATATGGTAATGACCGGGCAGATTTGCCATTCTCTACTAAGAATGCAGGTACATAAATTGATCCTGTGTGTTGAACGTGGTTTTTAGGACACCTCCCAATAGCCCTTAATATGGTTTCATTGTAAATCGTCTTTTCGCTACCCACTGCAAAGTTCGAACTAGCGTAATATATGCATATTGTGGAATATTCCACTTTAAATAAAGCAAGTTGGCTGCGTGCAGCAGAGGAATGTAGTTCACGCAAAGCTGTGGGATGATGTTTATTAACTGAGAGCATAATAAACCGTCTATCGAATTCTGCTGTCACAGTCTACTTTGGAAAAATAGCTTCACAGTTTTTGAAGAAAACACTAGTCGGTGACATGATTATGGAACTTTCGCGTGTACCTGTGCGAGTGCGCTGGAATGCGCAATTGTTGTTTGCTGAGAAACGTGCGCCACGTTTGCAGGCCAGTATCAGCTCTCTACAGAAAGTAACAGTGCTTATTTCATCTGTAAGGTATTCGGTTTAACATTTTACGGATTCATCTGTTGGGACGGGGGACGTTTTAGTTATAACGTTGACTTCGAAAAGCTTGTCACTCAAGAGAGCGGATGTGTGAAATGCTGTTTTGTCAAACCTTTCCCTACTGAT